AGGTATGTCGTCTAAAAGTACAGGTGTGTTGTCTAAAAGTACATGATTGTTGTCTAAAAGTACATGTTTGTTGTCTAAAAGTACATGTATGTTGTCTAAAAGTACAGGTGTGTTGTCTAAACGTAAAGGTGTGCTGTCTACAAGTAAAAGTGTAATGTATAAAAGTACAGTAGTGTTGTTTAAAAGTTCAGGTATGTCGTCTAAAAGTACAGGGGTGGTGTCTAAAAGTACATGATTGTTGTCTAAAAGTACATGTTTGTTGTCTAAAAGTACGTGTATGTTGTCTAAAAGTACATGTATGTTGTCCAAAAGTACATTTTTGTTGTCTAAAAGTACATGTTTGTTGTCTAAAAGTACAGGTGTGTTGTCTAAAAGTACAGGTGTGTTGTCTGAAAGTACAGGTGTGTTGTCTAAAAGTACATGTATGTTGTCTAAAAGTACAGGTATGTTGTCTAAAAGTACAAGTGTGCTGTCTAAAAGTACAGGTGTGTTGTCTAAAAGTACAGGTATGTTGTCTAAAAGTAAAAGTGTTATGTCTAAAAGTACATGTATGTTGTCTAAAGGTACTGGTGTGTTGTCTAACAATGCAGGTGTGTTGTCTTAAAGTAAAGGTGCTTTGTCTAAGAGTAAAGGTTTAATGTCTGAAAGCGAGGTATGTTGTCTGAAAGTACCAGTGTTTTGTCTACTGCTTTGAACGGAGGACTAAATATATGTTATGTTACACTAGCGGAGATATACATCTCAACGATTTACAGTATATTGACAATTATATAGAACAAAAAGATTTTACAAGGAAATTAGCATATGACTTGGTTTCTCAGACAATTGTAACAATGAATTTGTGCACGATATAGCTGTGGCTTTCCTGACACTTTGAATAAAAATCAAAATACACTTGATGTTTTTTGTAATTTGCGGATCTTTTCCTCTAAAAATACGTTTTTAATAACAAAATAAATCATGTTGTAATAAAAAAAAAAAAATTCTCAACAAAATTTTAAACTGAAAATACTTAAACATAAGATTTATGCAAGACTTAACAATAACATTTTAAAAGGTCATTCATTTTCAAAAATAAACGCGTTCATTGAAATTGTTTTTCTATGTACATGTATCGTCAATTAAACATAATTTAAGTTTATTAAACAGCATTTCAAGACTCGTTGACAATTTTAATAATCATTTTAAACGGAATGGCACGGGCTACATAGACTGGTAAAACATTATGTCATAACAAATACCACTTGTTTAATATTTGTATCGAAATTACCACTTTGTTTGGAAGATTCATGAAATGGACATGCAACATCTTATTGCAATTGTTGTTTAAGGATACCCGTACCACTGCCAAAAACTGTTACTATGTACTATGGAAAACTGTGGATTCCAGTATTATTATAGCTTTCATAAATCATTTCTGAAATGAATACCATACCTTGTGGGAATTTTGATGAGAAATAATAAAGATGAAATAAACAAAATATATTGAACAATAATGTTCTGAGTGTAAATTGTAAAGTGACCAGATCGGGATTCGAACTCCGGACTTCAGATTTTTTACTATTGCTCTAACCGATTGAGCTACCTGGTGAACAGGAAGTATCCTGGTCAAACTGTGCTTCAGTTATAGCCAAGCGGAACTTAAGGGGAGGCTACTGTTATAGGAAAAAACACAGTGCAGTGAGACAAGGATCCTTAGACTAAATATAAATACAGTGTATAGGTTGTCTATAAACGATATTATTGGTTTCAGTCCAAAGACTGACGGAGGAAGAGTGAAGAGAGCATTGGTGAAGAAGAAGAGCAACCATTGGCCCGGCGGAAGGATACCCTATACGATTCGGACCAGGGATTTCAGTATGTAAAAAACTAAATGTATAAATAGAATATTCTGTATACCGTGATATTTTCGCTGCAGGTTAATTTTTGCCTCTTTCGCCCTTTGTATAGAGGACAAATTTATCATTGATGCAATAAAATTAAACATCATAATAAACATAGGGGTTTAATGTGAAGGGCGAAAATAACACTGGACGAAAATAACACTGGGCGAAAATAACACTGGGCAAAAAGGCATGTCATGGGCGAAGGGCGAAAGTTTGAATGGCGACAATTTTCCAGTGTATAGTATCGTGCCATATCTCAAGCCTCGATGAACTCCATCACAACTAAATAAAGAGGACTTTAAGGCTTTATATTACAGAACTATTATTACACATCCTTTATTTCGCAATATGTGATAAAAATGATATTAAACTCTTTTTCATTGCGTATGGAATGTATGTAACAAGTCGCTAAGTTTCCATTGTGGATCACAAGAAGCTAGCTTAAATGGGAAAAAAGTAAAAAAGGTTTCGTTATTCTAATATGATAAAGAAAACAATTTAAGATCTTATGATCAACATACAAACAAGCAAACAAGCAACGCAGTGGGGTTTTAGCAAAGTCCCAGAAGAACTGCTCATTATAAAGCTTACAGGTAATAGAATATTGATTAGGATCGTTTATCCATATTTATATCTTTATTGTCAATTTCTAATTTCGACAATGTGTGTTTGTCAGTGTGTTTTATTTTCCTATTCTATCCAACATAGGTAGTACAGAGAGGCGAGATATACACCTAGCCCTCAGAGAGTGGGAGTCGTACACGTGCGTCAGGTTTGTTCCGGCCACGCCCTCAGATCAATACAAACTGCAACTCAAGGACTCTGATGGGTAAGTCGCTGTCACAATACCACTTTGAAACTAAGGAAATTTGGTAATTTAAACTCCATGATGACTATCCTTCTGGGTGTTGTAAAACCTCTTTAGTTAGAGCTCTCTTTGCGATTTGCAAATGAGCCCTCATGTCAACGCAATGAGTATTTTTCTACAAGGACGGAACAGATGAGTAATGCAGTGTAGTTCAATTTAAGCACCTGTGTGTGTGTTAAGTTCATCTATCGTCATTGTTTTCATACTCTAAAGCATCGATCGAATTATTTTCTTTTCATACCAAAATAAAGAAATAAATTACAAAAACACACAATCACCGGACCAACCTGTTGCTTTTCAAAATAACTGCACGCAAGATACGAATAGCTACTATTACTATTTCCATACCTGCAATTGTTGTAAAGATATAATTCAAATGTTCAGTTTTATTGCTTACAAAACAGTTGTTGCAGCATAATATAGTATTGAATTTAACATGTTTTCCATCTTTCCATAGCTGTCATTCCTATGTTGGCAAGAAGCGCAAGAACCAAATGGTTGGCCTGGCAAAACCTTGCAGGAAGGTACGTATGTCTGTCTAATGAAGGGACGATGTATCTACCATGCAGTGTATGAATCTATTTTGCCGGCATCAGGGTAACATCTCAACATGTTTACAACTCAGACAATGTCTTGCAATAACGGCGTCCACATGGATACACAATCACTGATATGGTCTTGAATAGTTATCAAATGCAATATACATCCATTTTGTTAAATCTCTGTGTTTTTGTTGTTTTGTAATGTGATGTTGAGTAATTTAATTGTCGATACGCATGATCAACTACACAGATAAGTAAACAAATGATTAAAAATGTTTCGTACTGCATTACAAAAAATCGTCGTTGGAGTCCATTTCCAAATAATTAAATATGTTTTAATTTTATTTGTATAGCCTTTATTTTTGTCTGCAAGCAAATAATTGTTCACTCTGAATTATACGATGAAATTATTTCTCCACGATTTGTTTTCATTTCCAGAGGAGTATTATCCTTCACGAGATTGGCCACGCTATCGGGATGTTCCACGAGCAAGCTCGACCTGACAGGAACATGTATATCGACATCCTTTATAACCATATTCTCCCGCCAGTCAGATTCAACTTTCAGTCAATAGACGCCGACCAGACTACGAACTACAGCATCCCATACGACTACCTAAGCATCATGCATTATGGAGAAACAGTAAGTGTTTCACTGATGTTTTGATGTCTTTTATTGGCCTAAAGAAAGATCTCTTCTGTGGTGATGGGCCGTTAATAATGTGTTCGTATTAGACGGTATTGTAGACTCCCTTGACAAAAATATAGAAGTTCAATGATATCCTGTGCGGGCAATAAATCCAGGCCGTTTATCGGATAGAATTTTCAAGTTCTTGTGTAAATTCAAAAGAAGAAAACTGCTAGCATAATTGAGACGAATACAATACCCAGCTTTCCGTTCTTCCCGATATACTTTTTTTTCTCTATTAATTCAACAATGTTGTCAATATAACATAAGATCATTCTAAAGTTAATTATTACTGCTAGCTGTACATTTCATATTTGTTTTGACGGTTATTTCATGAATTTGTGTTCCAGGCATTTTCCTTTAACAGAACAGCAATTACAATGCATGCCAAAGATCCTAATTTTCAGAAAAAGATGGGCAAGGCGACACGTATCAGCTTTCGTGACGTGATGTCTGTCAACGCCATGTATAGCTGTTCAGGTATGGTGTTTCATCCAGTGGCTACATTCTTCGTTTACCCGTCATTAATATCATACCAAATTTGTAAAGTTTCGACAAATTGGTTTATTCCTTGATATTCCGTCTTTGCGTATTGCAGAGTTATCTTCTCTTGGGAGCAGGGATTGATTGTTACGTCATTGGTTTGTGACGTAACAATCAATACCTGCTCCCAAGAGCAGATAACTCTGCAATACGCAAAGACGGAATATGAAAAGCACACATCACTGAAATATGGAATGCTAATTTTTTAAACAAGAACTGTCCATTGAAATTAATTTTACTTTTTATTTTGTTTTTAAATGGAATATTCAAGGAGATATGACATCCGTTATTTTCTGTACTGTTTTGAACCAATAATGTTTAAATGATACGTTTTAAAAGAAAATATCGACCTTTTATGACAGAAGATAAATGCCCTTGATTAAAGATTCGTTTTTAAAGGACGGATGTGCATTTAAGTGTATTTCCAGTTAAACGCATCGACGTGTAAACAAAATCGTAGGTTGGACCCATTATCGACGAAACTTGTGCATAATGGGAACAAATGAAAGATTAACAGATAGAACATTGAAAAGTACAAAGAAAAAAAGACACTAATCTACATTACTCACAGTATATTATGATAAACAATTATTAATATGAGTAACTATCAGCATCTACTGAAAACATTCAATAGTCGTTTTATGGTTTACGCAGGTCACTGTATATCGCCACCAAGCTGTCCATTCAAAGAAGCCTTTGTCGGAAAAGACTGCCGTTGTTGGTGTCCAACTGATCAAGACGACAGGGAACCCGCAAAACAGTGTCCAGAGGTATCTTCAATTGCTCCACCTAGGTCGCATACGACCCACACCAACCAACCTCGAACAAGGCCGGGTCAGACACAACAGGATAAAAACAGCGTTCTTCTTCGTATTGCGTTCAACCCAGATAGACGACAATCACCTAGCGAAGCAGCAAATGCTGTCTTGAGACCAGTCGGTGAAGTTCATAACTTCATTCGGAACCCTTCGGTTCACGGGGATCGTATGGTGCCTACATCCGGCAGTGAAGTGCCTGAAACGTTAGCCGCAACTTTGTCAAATCTTCCAGACTCCATCACACTAGGATCGCTTAAGGGTCAAGGGGAACGCCCGTCACGAAGTAGAAGTATAAATAACCAATTTAGGAATCGAATTTCGGAAAGGAGGTCTAATTTTCGTCGTAGACAACCAGTTCGTTCGCTACGTCCTTCTACACCAACATCAGCTGATCGTCTAGAGCGGCAGCTTTTGCAAGAACTAAATGAACTTAACGGAATCCATACAGAATCTTTGAGTCAACCAACGCAGTCTACTCCATTACTGTCTGGATTAATGACATCCAGACAGTCAAACGGTGACATCAACACACTCGTAAACAATGCCATGGGGTTAATATCGGGTAACCGACGGGACCAAACGACCCCAAACACAAATGGTGCAGTGGTTTCGTCCCAGACACCAGGGGGCGGGGGCACCACAGCGGATCTAAGGCAGCTTCTACGGAAGCTCAATCGCCTGAACAGTCAGAACCAAATGTCCCCCCATGTAGCTAATGTTCGACACACACATGTTAATTCCAGATCAAGAAGCGCCGATATTCTAAGTCAACGGCGTGGTCAGCATTTATTACGAGAACTGTCTGACTTCTTCGCCCCCAGAAATGGTCGGCAGCAAACCCAACAACTTTCAGCGGACCAAATATCATTTTTGTTGGCAAAGTTCCCTTCCTCTCCGAGCCCAGACGTTACTCACACACACCAGGTCGTGGTACAGCCTTCTAATGGACACCACCACCAGCACCACCACCATCATCATCACCACCATCGCGACCACAATAATCAATATCGTCAACAAGATGGCGTACTCTCACCAATTCTTGACAACACACGTTTCCATAGTAACCATTGACAAAACAGAAAATTCCGACGGCAATCTTTCTCAGAGTAACTACTGACATGGCATGTCAAGTTGTATCACCACAGTAACTTTTAATTGAATCTGTATCATTTCCACAATGACAGCAAAGCCTATAATCACGTCTTTGTAATAACCCCTTACTGCGTCTGTCACCATATCTCCGCCATATATCCTGACCGAGTCTGTCGTTAGGGTGGAACGATCTGGATGCATGACCGAGAGCATCGGATAAGCAAACTTCAGGAATATCTGTTCGAAGTGTAGTTTAATCCAAAAGTGGACATAATGGTATGAAATTATCGGTCTGTGCAAGCTCTTTAAGACAAAGGTTGAACGTTCACGAAACAAATATTAATGCATATATTTCATTGAGTAAGACGCGCGTCATTGTATTTCGTGTATCATTGGAATCATACAGTCTAGTAGACAAAAAGAGGTCGTGCAAAATACAAGATGAAGGCGATTCCGTCACAATGAAAATGTACAAGAGAGTTGAGGTCATAGCCATCGGGACGATGACGAGAACCAATGTATGTGTCTAGTGCTTAGTACATGTTTAGAAAGTGCCAACACTCACAATGTAAACAAATGCTGAGTAACTGGATAGGAAAGCACGCATACTGGTGACTAGATCCATCCGGTGCATGTTATTGTACGCACATATGATATAGTGCAACTCTTGTGTTGATTGTATACTTCAGGGGCCTTCAGTATACTTTAAAAGTCTGACTCATTAACAGGGGCTGCCTGCCGCTCCCTGATTTTTGATAACAATTATATTGTGTGCATTGTATGCGAGTTTAGTTTTAACGCATTGTGTGTGTGTTGAGTTTTAACGCATTGTGTGTGTGTTGAGTTTTAACGAATTGTGTGTGTGTTGAGTTTTAATGAATTGTGTGTGTGTTGAGTTTTAACGCATTGTGTGTGTGTTGAGTTTTAACGCATTGTGTGTGTGTTGAGTTTTAATGAACTGTGTGTGTGTTGCGTTTTAACGCATTATGTGCTTGTTTAGATTTAATGCATTGTTATATGTCTTCATGTCATGAGCATTGAATAACAGCAAAAAGTCACTCGCCAAAATGTTCGTGGCAAGTATGCGGTTTTCAGTGACACAAAATCCAGTCCTATTTCTAAATAATAGGGACTAGTTTATATTCACGTTTTAATTCAACAATCATTATCATATGAATGTATGTAAACTGTAAATATTGTCAGTGAAACATGTTCTGTATATAAATAAAATATTGTTTATTAGTAGTATATATTGTATATAAATGTAGCGTTTTAATATTAATAAGTCGTTGTTATTGTTTAAAATATGTTGTTATACACAGTATCTGAATGTTATCAGTAAATAGAAAATACATCACAGATTTTCTGTCCACAATGAAAAAGTTAATAAAGAAGACCTTTGATGTCAAAAGCCTTGTTTACTCGGCTCTTACTTTACATGAATCTGTTTAGCAAGCCTCATTTCTCTATTGACACATTAAATAATTACTGATGACGATGATTATGATAACAAGATATGCATATCCCAGGACTCAAAATGANTAGGTTTTAAAATTTGGATATGACTTTTTCGATATTTACATTTTGACAATTTTACTAAACTTGTAAATAGTTAAACACAGGAAATAACAACTTAAGTAAACCGCAAATGTGACATATTTGAATTAATAAAATTGCATCACATCAGCGATGTTTGAGCCATTATTTTAGTCGCTAAAGTGCGCAATTAGAATACAAATGCATAGCTAATTAATATAATCCATTGCAAGCATTACAAGACATGAATTATTCATGGCCCTTATTAGTACTGGTTTCATGACATGAACGAAGCTTCGTGAATTCAATTCTATATTAAAATTTCCTTTCAGACAATGATAAATTCAACTGGTAACCGAATAGGAATATTTCCGCGAGTATCTGTGTTTTGGTAATGTAGCAAGATTATCACATTATCTTTGAGGTGATACATACTGATGCCAGAAGTATCCAAACTTTGATCTGATACGAAAATTGTAGTCAAAGCAAGAAACAGTATGTATTTGCTAGAGAAATATGACACATCCATACCATAGCTATATATATTTCTATCACAATACGCTGTCTTATTCCACTCTCAGATCATTGTATAAACATGCAGACTGTTTGATAGTATATGACCTTCCGTAGTATTGATTGGTCGAGAAGATTAACCTTTACCGGACGACTTTTTTTCACGCACTTTTTGCCGCGTGCTGTTTTGTTTACGTCGTCTGCTCTCAATATCCGGCAAATGTTGGTGACTTTTGTGAGGTTATGCGATGGGAAAAAGGATTAGTAAGGCAATGCCAAAAGAAGATGATACTTAAAGATTTGATCGCTTATTTCAGGCAAAATTGCCACAGACGCTCGATATCGTTTCGACGCCATACCGTCGCGTGTCCAGGTTGTGAAACCAAAACAAGATCTGTCACAGTGTCGGAAAATATTGCGTTCTCCTCACGTCCCATTATCAATATGTGGAGGGCCTGTCTATGGCGGAACTCTCACTATAAATGTCAACCATAGAACCGTTACGAAGAAACGTCCCAGGCCTATGGTTTTGGACATTGACAGCGATAAGTTTGTCTTCTTCACTTGACGGGAGGCAGACTTCGTAAGATATGCTTACGCGCCTATAGTCTGTGGTTAATTAATATTAATTAATGCAATACTGTTACTCTCAGTATTTAAAGTCGTTCATCTATTATATTTTCTCATGAAGTTGTGTCCGAAACATCAATTTTGAAAATTATTGAACTTGTAAAACCAAAGTCATTTTTGAATATTAATGAGTGACTTTTTACATATGGGTCATATCACTACGCCAGCCTGGTCAACAAACACATGTTCATATTGATGAACCAGACTGAAAACTATACAATATAAACAAACTGTGAATAGTTTGGACAGATTGTGTCAAAATCGGCCGTGTCATGACATTTCACATTGTACTTGACAGATGACTGATATGCCAGCATGGTTTGCGGATGTTGTTTGTAGTTTGTCGAATTTGTCAAGTAATTACTAAAAAAACAAAGTATAGAAACGCCTATTTAAAAATAAAATTTCTTGATACAGATAGCTATACAAAGTGCATTTGAATGATCCATATCGCCATTTGGATCATTTAGGAATCCCGTACTAAGATCAAAAGAATAAAATACTATGTCGAATTAATGTGTCTCGAAAACATGAAGTATTATAAAAGAAAGGGGGTAAGATACATGTGAAACCCTTTACAACGTCTCATAAATTGTGGCTACGAAAGATAATTTATTCTTAAATTATTTATTGTAATTCATAACAGAATACATTTCAGCTACAAGGTTACGGCCAACCTCGAAGAATGACAGTCCACTAGCAAAAGCATCTAATTTTCTACGCTAATATGAAGCAATGCATATAGCTTCTTGATAAAAATCCCAAAATGTACATTTAACTGCACTTTTTGAATCTAAAGCTCTGTTATCTTCCATTTTGTCTACATTGTTTTAGTTCTACTGAAGAATTCTAAATGAATAAATGTGTTTATAATACAATAACAGTATTTAATAAAAAATATGAGTTATTATATAAATGTTTATAAATTGTCATAAATTGTCAAGTAATGAATATTCATATAAATGATGTATATCAGATTTAAAATACAGTGTGTATCGTTCCATCAAAATGTCATTAAACTTCTTTGTAATGGACGATTGTGTTCACCATTACCACATTATGAATTAATTCAAATATTTCACAATCAATTATTTAAGTAAAATATGTATAGTTAGGTTTAAGCAAGTCATGTTAACTTTTAGAACTTTGACTGAAGTTAAACACCATAATATACAAACATATGTCAATTATATCTATTCTACCAAGTGAAATTTAATTAAGTCTTTTCTTGTGTCTCCCTCAGTGTCCATACGCATATGATAAGCCAGATGACCTAGCAAGATAATCTGAAAAAGACAAATAGGCTGTTCATTTTCGTGCGCTTATCTTTTTCACGTGATGCATATATTGTCTTCATCTCATAACAGGCTGCGTTTTTCTATGATTTGTTATATTTTGTTTATTTAACCTGGATATAATTGGGAAGGATTTTTCATTTTCAGTCGACATTTGTTTGACAGACGATAAACAATTAACACTATCGTCATGCTTTATGCCAGACGTTTATTGCAATCAATCAATCCACCAGTCTATCAACATCGCTCTCAAGCATTTGACAGATTAAAAAATTCGACGGAACATTTTGACCGTGATTTTGACAGGTTTTAAGTAGACATCAGTACCTGGATGAACGCCAATATGCTAAATCTTAATCAGGAAAAGACGGAACTAATCGTCTTTTCCCCAAAGTGTCAGCAAACAATGGCTCTCCAGCTCAAGGTCTGTGCCAGAACTACTGAGGCTGTTCTAACTGTTAAACACCTAGGGTTATACTTTGATAGTTTACTGAACATGGAGAAACAATTGAACGTTATTGACAAATCCTATTACTACCAGATTAGGAACATCGGTTGAATCCGGCAGTTGCAAGATTTTGGTGCATTCAATTGTTACATCTCGATTGGATTATGGTAACGCCCTGCTCTGTCGTATAGCTGACAAACTAACTAGTCGTCTACAGAGGGTTAATAACACAACAACACGTCTGGTAATTCGTACTCGAAAGAGAGAGAGCACATTACACCTGTGCTATATTCATTGCATTGGTTACCTGTACGATACAGGTCGCAGTACAAATGTTTGGTGTACACATACTAGGCACTGAATGGAACAGCTCCCGAGTATTTACATGAGCTTGTTACCCTGTATCAGACCCCACTGTTCGTGACGGCTAATACAGAATCAGTGTTGTGTGTCCCAAAATCTGGTACCGTGGCATATGGAAACCGGTGCCGTGGGAGGGTTTCAGCCGCGTTGTGGAATAGCTAACCATCTGCCGTCAGGAATTCAAAAAACCTGGCCAAATTAAAGAAGGAAGTAAAGACCCAACTCTTCACGTCTGCTTTTGAGACTCTTTGCACAGACGTCATGTACACACCATCCACTATACATTCGTTTATATATATATATTGAGAGAATTATCTTCTACTTAATGTAAAATTGTGATTTGTATGCCTTTTTTTGTATATCTGTTATATGTTATAATAGCATCCATGTGTTGTAATGCGCTTTAGTGTAATTTTACAAAATTATTAAGGGCGCTATAGAAATGTTGTATATTATTGACAGTGTATCAGAACAACCGAGAAGGCGCCGAAACCTAAGTAAAGCTTAGGATTGTTTTCTTTTTGTGGCCAGAATGTGATTGTGATTATATAGCTTCATTATTAATATGATATATGTACAGTGTTGACCATTGTTAGGAGATGGCTCAGTTCCCGATGTACATCAGATGTTTTGCAATAAAATATTCTGACATGTATAAGCATAATGAAGTTACACTTTAAACAAAATGTGAAACCCTGTGTCTTCCTTGCAGGGGATTTTGTCAACGTCTGTGATCATAGCAGATATTAAAAATCCATTTTGACTAACAGACTCAATAGACATCTCCCCTCAGGTCGGAGATTTCTCAATTACACCACCAAGGTTGGAGGTAGTTAGTATTCTCCCATCATTTTAATACTATGCAAGAAAAAATACTTCTGGCCATGGAGGACTACACACCTGGCCGTAATCACGGTGTGAAGAAACTGAATATGTGAGGTAATATAAGGAACTGAGACCCCTGGGGTTTGCCATACTAAATGCCATTCTGTTTTTGAATGAAAAAAATATATATACCTTATGAAAGTTGTCCTTAAACATATCGTTAGTGCACACGACCGCACGTGCCTAGACATGCCCATCACTCTATA